TTATTGGTCACACACAATTTTATAATGATAAAATAAAAAATATAAAACCTATACTTATAACAAATATAAAATCTACATTACATCGAAAGGTTATATTTATTTTGAAGATTGTGCACGTGTTTAACGTGTAAATAAATATTTAAAATCATGAAGGAAGTTATATTATCAAATTGTGAAAAGAATTTCGTAAATAAATCAGTAAAACAAGGAACAGTATGCATTTGTTGACATTTTATTACTACATAAAGTTACATGAATATAAGTTTATAAAGTTTGTAAAAATATATTCTAGCGATTAGATGGCAGAAATTTATTGCAAGCACGACCTGTTAAAATTTATTTTGGATCCAATTGGGGTAGTTGTATAGTTTCACTTGGACAAACTAGGTAAAATAAAAATCAGACATTCTTCACAATTTTTTAAAAATTACAACTAATTTTAACAAACAAATAAATAATTTAACAAATAATTAAGCTGTAATAAATAAATAAAGAATTTTCTCTAGTATTATTAGGGCATATTAATTATTTATAGTTTATTTTCTATGCATTCATATACATGGACATTATGAAATAAATTTCTTACAGAGTTATAGTACAAGTAACATGTGATATTCAACAACCTAAGACTTCTCGTTCTAATGAAGGAATGTTGCATATAAATGTTGAACTTAATCCATTGGCTGCACAACATTTTGATAGTGGTAAACTATCTGAGTTTTCAATATTGATTAGTAGGCAACTTGAAAAATGTTTTAAAGATTCAAAATGTATAGACTTAGAATCGTTATGTATCATAGTTGATAAAAAGGTAAATAGTATAACAATTAATTCCTTCTTAATCACTTTGAACTCTTAATTGTTAATAATGATGGAAATTCCTACATATAATTCTAATTAAATAGTAAAAATTGTATTTATGCTTGTCTAGTTTATTATTTGTTTTATATATAAGTAACAACATAATGTTGAGTTATATAAATTTTATTACATGAAGTTATTTATTATTGTTATATGAATATTAATAATTAATGCAGGTGTGGAATATAAGGGTTGACATTAATATTATAAATCATGATGGAAATTTAATTGATTGTGCTTCTATTGCAACATTAGCTGCTCTCTCACATTTTCATAGGCCAGATGTAACTTCAAATGGTGAAGATATCATGATTCATCCATTTTCTGAGAAAGATCCATTGCCTCTGACATTATATCATTATCCAGTGTGTGTCTCTTTTATAACATTTGAAAGGTTAATTATTTATATTATTTAATTCCATTAGATAAAATTCAAAAATAATTTATATGAGAAAGTTCTATTTTCATAGTGGAAACACAGTAATGGATCCTACATATATAGAAGAAAGAGTTGGAGTAGCACAACTTACCCTGGGTATCAATTCATATCGAGAACTTTGTAGTTTGCATTTTAATTATTTAACAAAAACTATGACTGTAGAAGATGTAATATCTGCAGTTTCTAACTATGCAGCAAACTATGCTGCTAAATTAGTGCAACAGATTAAAGAAGTTGTAGTTCATGATGTGGAGGCAAGGTAAAATTTTCATTTTTTAATTATTTTGCAACATTTTTCAATTTGTATACTAGTTTGTTCTCACTTGAAATATGTATGCTTAGGTACAGGAAAGATAACCGTAATATAAATCATTTTAAGGAATGTATAATGATGAAGAATTTGACTACAATGAACAGTGACTGTATTAATATTAAATTACATAAATGGGATGAAATACATAAAGTAGAATCTGATGGTAAATAGTTTTATAATTATAGCAATATAATCTAAATGTAATTATATTTTAATAATTAATTACCACACATTCTATCATATACAAATTCTGTTTTTCACAAATTTTTCTTTTTAAGCTTATATGGAAAAAGAGACTATTGAATGTAAAATTATAAAACCTGGAGAAGGTTCTGCCGAATTAATAACAAATACAGTAAATATTTATTTAATTAAAACGTGGCATTAAAAGTAATAACGTAATTAAAACGTTATTTAAAAATTATTTTAATAGGCTACATCATTTGGTGAAGGTGGATCTAATACATGGAATATATCAGAATCTTCAGAAGAAGAGGTCAGCGATATTGAAATTGCTGCTGGAATACAAAAAGAAGAAAACAAAGTCGCAAATGATATAGGTGCTGTATATAATTTATTTTTTACTCTATCACACTTCTTTGGTAATTAAAATATGAGTAATTAATTTTTTAATTATTGTTATATTAGAATTAAGTGGAGATAGTGAAGAAGAAACTACTGAGATATTGGAAACAAAAGATTTAATACAATAAACTAATGCATATTTATAATAAATTCAAATGCTCTTGTACACAACATTTACTTTTTATGACAAAAAGAAAACAATATGGAGTAAATAAACAATATTTTAGTAGGTATTATTATACATATATTTTCTTAGTGTGTTTTTTACATAGATCTTATAAAATACCTATGTCTATTAACAAGTAAAAATTCATACATATATTTTTGATCTCACTAATAAAATATTATTACAATAACGAAACTCATGAAATGAAGCTTAGGCTATGTAGTATCATTACTTAAACCATTCTTTTGATCCAATTTATTAGCATTGGTCTTTACGGTATAAATGAAAAAGCTTAATGCTTCTTTCTCAACTACTGGGATGGTCTTAAAATGCTTCATAAGGGTCTGAAACAAACAGTATCAT